AAAAAAAAAAAAAAAAAAAAAATGAAGGTCTTTCTCTAGAAGGGTATACCAAAGTATCATAGAAAGAAATCACCATGCCTGCTGACCAGAGGGAAAGTTCTAGAATGGCCACTCCCTACTGGATAACCATGGGCATGCAGTCCACTTAGATTGTGTTTTTCTGAGATCAAAGTAATGCGCTTCCTTCAACAAACTGTAGAACCATTTGTGAATGACTGGGATGGACACTAATGTTCATTGAAAAAATGTGAACCTTTGCTGAGATCCAAGGTGGTCTTACTATCCACTGCCCAAGGACACAGTGTCCTTCACATCTAAGGTTTGTTTTCTGAGTTTGGATAATAGACCTATTCCCAGCCCTATAAAGGCTGGGGGCAAGTCCTTCCTTTGAGAGAGAGCCTTAAAACCACATGGCTCCATGAGGGTATCAGCCCAGGAGCCAGGCAAAGAGATTATAAAGAAGAAACAAGGTGAGCAGGTGCCCCCCAGGGGAGATGGGAGGGAAGGAAGGAACAAGAGCTGCCCCCTCCAGCTTGTGGAATGGTCCCCAGGTTTCTCTGTTTGTGTTATTGTTCGGTTGGTTTTGTGTTTAACGTTATCGCTGGAAGAAAACTTCTTGCAGAGATTGTTTAAAACATCAGAGATTCTTGGGCTGAAGCAGTAAGATTAATGGGGCAAAGCTTCCACCACCTGGTGCCAAGAACATCTATGCTCCTTTAGTAAGTTGGCCAGAACAAATATCTCCTCCCACAGACAGGCGCTCTGTAGACTGCAGACTCTGGTCTTGTAGAAAATCAAAAGAAGGAAGAAAGGAAGACAGGAAGTGAGGAGGAAAGAGGGAAGGAGGGAGGGAGGGAGGGAGGGAGGATGGAAGAATGGAAGACCTCACTGCAGCTGAGTGGATCACCCACCTGTCACAGCTCACCCATCACCTGTTCAGACCTTTCTTTCACCTCCTAAAACTCCACCTGGACTCAACGAATCCACCCCTCCCAAGCCCTG